TACAAAGGTATTGTTAAGCTCCCGACGGAAAATGGCGGTGGTGTTTGAAAAGCTATTGCGGTTTAATGTTTGATTCCAATTGGCGCGTAGGTTATAAATTACGCGCCGCGTAATCTTTCTTTTCGGTTAGGAAATGGAAAATACACAGCAGCTGTCATCCCTGGACCAATACATTTCAATGTAAAATAACGTTTTCTGCACGAAAACGTTTCATTAATAACTCGTCGGATTTATTGAATTCCCCCACTTGAAAGTTTATTTAGGTCTAAAGGGAAACATTGCATATGATAAACAAATCTTTTATATAGTTACAAATATATTGATTGCATTTTTTAGAAGTATAATCTACATAAGAAAAATATTTGTTAATATTCTAGGAGTAAGAGAATTCGACAAAAATTAGGAACTATTTTATCGCGTGAAATATTTTTTCATATTTTGCTACTTACGAAATTGGATCGTAACGCATTGAATAAGCACGGCAACGTGATTTAATGCTTTTACGACATACTTCGTGAAAACTTTTGGCGTGTCCTATCCTATTCTGTTCCTTGATCCTGGTTAGGGTATGTAACCGATGTCCTAATCCAGGTTGACAATGGCCCGAAACATTATTACCCTGTCACAACAAATTGTACAGAATGCGATGTGCCGTTCTATGTTTGCAAGGGGGAGCCTCTACTACCTTATTTATTGTATTACCTCTTGCTGGCAGATTTTACGGATAACATGTTGACAACGAGTTCCGTGCGAAGTTGCTTTTATGCCGGGCCCGAAGGAAAGCATTATTTTCGGACTGCATGCATTGTTCACAAATGGTAATTGCCGTAATAAAAACAATAAACTTTACACCGTGTCGTATAATGCAGATAATGAGTGCGTCAAACATAAGTTCATATTTTAAGCGAATTTTATTATGCGCTTCGAATATAACTGCTCGAAATTTATGTAACACGATGAATATAAAATTTCATTTATAATTTCTATTTATTTTCATCTTCCGTGCTTAAACTTTTCCTGAATCTATACGAAATGCATTGTTCGTTGTGAAACAATTTATTCAATCAAAATATTTTTCACGAGTGCACGTTACACATCCTTGTAACATTATAAGGAATATTTCACGTTGGACAAAAAGATATTCATAGCAAAAGATAACAATATATTCGTTAAAGCTTTCAGAAATTAATTTACATATGTGCGTTAATTCCTCGTTGACCTTTGAATTAGTTCGAGTCATAAATAACTTCTGTTTCCTTGTTTTAAATTTATGTTGATCTATGATATCATACAATTAATATAAATTCATGACATGTTGCTGATTACTATTAAACTTAATAATTTATCTTCAGTTTAACTATACTTTTCATGATTGTTATTCAATTATTATTTAGTAATTGTTTAATACCTACGACTGAAGTTACTTATTCAATGTGCAGATATATATGTATATATTTTTTTTTACTAACTTTTTCATCACATGCTGAAGTATAAATATTCAATATTTAGTAAATTACTTCATTTGGGGCAAACCGGGATTTGATTACGGTGCAAAACTTGGTACTCGGTTTTTCCCTATACTTACTATGTATAACGTAAACGGCTTTTAGTTTCCAGGGAACAAGAAAGTAAAGAAAACGAAAAATTAAATATGCAATTATCTACGAAGGAAACTTGTATATTTTATGACGAATTAGTTAGTCATTTCAAGTTCAAGGAAAACTGGATTCAATGCATTATGTGCCACGGGTGGGCTAGTGAAATTTTCACAAATGTCCAGGAGGGCGACCAGACCATTATATATAATTTTGCTTTATTAAATAAGTTACAATAAATGTATGTATAAAATAAAAAAGCTAAAATAAGTTTATGAAACAGTTTTTAAATAATTAAAATAAAGTCCAATTTAGTTTTCTAGAGGTGTCCAGATATTTGTTTGCCATCATAGTATCCCAACTGAAGGAGGCCACCTAAATTTTCAATGATGTCAGAAATATTTAAAATACAATCGGAATGGTTTGGAAAGAGGAATACAGTGGAAGAACATTTTTTAGTCATTTTTTCATCCGTTATAAGATACAATAAAGTATATATGCTTTCCTGTAAAAAATACCGGTGACCTTGAAAAAACATGGAAAAAATAACCTTAAAAAATGTGTTTCTTTTCCCTTTCGAAACCATTCAAATTATGCTTTAAACATTTCTGATATCATTAAAAAGAAAGACATTTAGGTGGCCTTCTTCAGCTGCGACATCCTGCACATTAAAAACGTGCGTTTTATCACAGAAAATAGTTAATGTTCGAACCAATTAATCCACGCAGAATTGCTTCTGTACGAAATGCGTCGCTTTCATTTTATCTTCCGACACTATATACAACAGTGTCATTCCATAGTAAATGTGTTTATACCAGCGCAGACGTCAATAACACATCAAAGCTGAATCGTTACCCGCCTGGTAGCTGTCGTCTTGAAATCTCCGAAACGCTGACTGAAGGAGCGGCGGAGATGAAAGAGAACTATATTAGCCGTAAACTCATCCGTCAGCGTCAAAACGTCAAAGACTTGCCATTGGGGTATTAACGGCGCCATAACTTCACAGAAACAGAGGTCGAAGAGAGGGAGAAAAAGAGAGCAACATGGACAAAGAAATAGAAAAAGAACAAGACATTCTATGGAAGTAGAGTAGAGCTTCGAGAGAACTTTATTTCTTCTGGGAAATATTACAGGATAGAGAGATGTAATATTATCCTGTTTCCGACTCTTTAGTTGAAAATGAGAATTCAACGAGGACAGCTTCATCGATTTTATGTCATTTTTCTTCTGTCGCTGTAAGTTATGGCGCGCATCTATAAATTAAAAATATGATCATAAATCGTAATTACATAACAGCTTGTTTTTGATACACACGCAACCGTTGCGTTATGTTGGAATCGAAGGTGTAATTTACATTTTAGAAATTTTAGTCCAGACTTCATTATACATATTGCATACTATGTTTTAGACTTTTACTAAAAACAGAAAATGGCATACATTAATTATAATATTAGCTACGTATTATCATTTTGATATATAAAAAGAACTACATATACTTGCATATATTGTATTTTAAATCTACAGAGTTTATACCTTTTAAACTGCATAAAAATGAGTAAAATATAATGTAAAACTGTAGCTACACGTTTCTAATTTTCACTAGAACAGATACATCGTGTGAAAAAACTGTTATAAAAGTCATAACATTTGTCTAATAATATAACAATTAATATCTGACGCAAACGGCGTTCGTTCATTTGGCAAGGAACATCTGCTCCTAACTAATGAACAAAGCGACATGAAATAATATTCTGATACTTCAAGTGCTTCTCTTACACTGTACAACATAATAACCAGAAACTCCAAAAATATAATAATTCAAATTCAATTGACATGTCTGTGTACATTTCTTAGCTACTATGTATTCAGTTACCTTCCAACGCGATGTAGGTATTTCCCAATCTAATTATCGTTTCCCGCAGGTATGCGGTTTACGTACTCGGCGTGTGGGTATTGTCATAATTCGTTGTAATTACCCTGTAACATAGCTACTTCATCGATCGCTTTATCGTATCGGAGTCGTACTACCAAGTTAAATAGCTGTAATCTCCTAGCCGCGCGGAGCGTTTGAATTTCAACGGGGTTGATATTCAAGTTTTTTTAATGACCGTGCTTGCTGAGTGCAACAGTCACGATGCGTGGCGTTTAATACATATAGACATATGTAGCGAATGTATAATTATTTCCGGGGTTTTATATAAATACTTTTTCGCAACGATTATTGCGAAAGTAATTTGTAATAGTCACCGAATGATCTTTTTCTTGTAAATAACGCGACAGGCTAGACAACCACAAAAACTAAATTCCATCACGTTACTTTAGAAAGATTATTTATGTTACAAGCTATTACCAAAGGATAATTACGTGAATCAGTTTAAAGGCGACGATCCGTAACATGATTTGCGGGAATGTCATAAGATTTCTTATGGTAGCCATACTAAACTATATTATGGTTCAGAATATACTTTCCATAATGGTTAAGTTATTATAGACGGTTTGTGGTAAATCATTTTCTGCTTACTGTTATATCGAAGTAATTATTGTATGTAATTAAAAACGAGATTCACCGATGACCGAGTACATACGTATTTCAGTTTGCGACTGCATTTGACGCGCCTTGTCGGAACGCGGCACCTTGTGACGCGTAATCTATTGCAGGACAACGTTATCTTAAAATAACAAGGAAGTCAGTGGAGATCAGTCGTTCGGAACGTTTAGTATCCGGTGACTCAATGCGCGACAAAGTCGAGGTGCGGTCGAGGCGATAATTAAAACGCTTTTACAAAATTGTAGGCAAACAGCGCTTAAGTGGCTGTCATTCGTTATCCCGTGGGCTGTGGCAAGTCGGTAAGTCGCTGAGCGAGCAATCAATCACCCGACATTCCCTTCCCCACCGGCCCATTACATTTCTATTTTGAAAGCTGCTTATTAAGCGAGGCCGGTCGGAGAGACAGACAGGTTTCACGGTATAAAATATCGGGTTGCTGTGGTGGCAGGGACGGTTCCGTGTCGAGGTAGCTATGGTAGGCGCACGGGAAGGGGTGTGGAGAGTAAGGGAACGAAAGAGGAGTAGGGAAGGGAGGGGGATGGACGGCTGTAAAAGCGGTGAAATATCAAAGCCGGGATGGGAGCTGTCATCGTCGGGCCAACATCATGGGTGGCGTGTTGAATTAGAATGCCTTCCCACACCCCACACAGGGCCAAACCCCACCGCAATTCTCCCACCATAATCCTCCGACCAGAAATGGTGGGGATGACAGGAGAGGACAGGTTATACACCCCGGCTTGTCGAAGAGGGAGGGGAAGAGTGTATGTCGTGTCGCCAGGCGGCGTTGCGGTCGCATTCCACTCCGTGCACCGAACAGCTCCGTCGAGAGCTACCACTATTTTCCTGGATTTCACTCGGTGTACGTCGTTTGCGTTTAATCGTTTCGTGCTACGGAAGGATCGATCGACCAATACGAATATCGAGGCCGTGTCGTTAAATACACAAACGTTTTCAAATCAGTTTATTCTCATTATTGTGATTTGTGGAAGGATATCTGTGGTTCTGTGCAGTGATTGGCTCGTTAAGTGCAAAACCAAATGGTTGTCCTCGAGGAAGGCGGTATGCTGACTAATGGACATAATCAGTATCTACAACCGGATTACCTATCTCCGCTTCCAACCACGGTTAGTATACGTAGTAAAATTATTATTGTAAATATTTTTATTCGAAATTGCCTCTGCTGTACAGTATTCTTAGAACGTATTTATGAAAATGCGAACTCGAATTCTTAGGAATGTTTTCGCAAAAAATATAAGTATAACTGAAGTTAATGATGTAATTTCATGAAAAAAATTTAAACTTAATCGTAAATTTGAATTTTAACAGTTAAATGTACTTACTCCTGTCCACTTGCCGTCTTCCGACGGCACGCGCTCTCCGACGGGTTGCTGTACACTCGCTTATTTTTTCATATTTCCTCTAATAAACGCGTTAAATACAGTTTTCTTAACAATTCTAAATATCGCAAGCATTCGATTTTTTCGTAACACATATTTCGCTTTTATTTTTCAGTTGGATGCGAAGAAAAGTCCCTTAGCTTTATTGGCACAAACATGCAGTCAAATCGGAGCTGATTCTCCAACGAAGCCTTTAATTTCTCCGCTGGATAAAACTCCAAAGGGCATGAATGCCGGCACGAACGCAAAATCACCTCCGGCTGCGAAATTGGAACGGAATACCCGCAGCAGCCCGTCGGATGGGAAGTCGTTGGCTTTCAAACCGTACGAAACCAATGTTGTGTCAAAGAAATCAACCGACGAAGGTAGACCAACGTCGAAAGCCAGTGTTCACAGTGTTAGTGGTCAGGATAGTGTAAGTGCATGTGATAATACGCACACGGAGAAAAAATCATCTGGTAATCGTACGCCCGTCGGCCGAAAGTCCGCATCGCCAGCGAGTCAAGCGACAGCAACAACAACGAGCACTCCGTCGGCCGATCGGAAAACACCAGCAGAACGGGAGAAGACCGACGGATCGCCACGCAACAATAACGGAACAAGCCCAATCATTCGATCTGGAATGGAAATTCTTTCTGGTACTCACGCCAAGGATTCGAATTTGGGCGCTTACAAACCTGGTCTTCCCGGATTTTCTAGCAATCCACTTTGTTGCCCGCCTGGTCTGGCAGAAAACCCAGCATTCAGACCACCGTTTGCCGGAGCATCTCCGTTTTCTCACCACCATGCTGCCGCGGCAGCTCTCTTGGGTTATCCATCGGCCTCGCCGACGGGTGGAAATCCGTACTTGAGTTACGCCCGTGTCAAGACACCAGCCGGCGGGGAAGCACTTGTGCCAGTTTGCAAAGACCCATACTGTACTGGTTGCCAATACAGTATGCACAGTGCACAGTTAATGATGGGTACTGGGACCTGTCCTAGTGGATGCACGCAATGTGATCATCAAAAGTACGGTTTAGCAATGGCGTTATCATCATTGGGACCTATGGCACCTCCGTCACTTTCATACCAATCCGCGTTAACTGGCGGCAGACCTTACGTTTGTAACTGGATCGCTGGCGATTCGTATTGCGGAAAGAGATTTACCACATCGGAAGAACTTCTGCAACATCTTCGCAGTCACACCAGCCTTACCGGCGGCGATCATGCATCATCGGCCGCTCTTCTCAGCAATCCGCATCCGCATCCTTTGCTCTCGCCGTCGGCAGCTCTTCATCGTGCAAGCGGCGGTTCTTATCCGTCGCCTTCTTTGAGTCCTTTGAGTGCTAGATATCATCCGTACGGAAAGCCGCCGACGGGACCTCTTCCAGCGTCACTTGCCGCGTCGCCTTACAGCGCTTTTAACGCGTTGGGACCTTATTATTCTCCGTACGCGATTTACGGTCAACGAATCGGTGCTGCTGTACATCCATAAACCGGATATTCGGTGTTGAAACGAACAGTGTACAGTCCATAATAGTGTAAAATAGAAAGACGTCAAACTAAGACTTTGACAGACTGTTGTGTAAATAATGAAACGTGTATAATATAACTTTATTTAAAGAAATATATATACATATGTGTGTATAAATTCAGAATTATGATTAAAGTTTATAAAGATATATTGACAGTTTGTTTCATCGCGAGATCATTCTTTACAGAAATCCTATATTAACGTATCTCACAACATTTGATTATTAGGGAAGAACATGTACACCGCAGCAAAAAAAAAAAAACGTTGCTAGTTTCGATGCTGAAATATTTTTCACACGGCACAGTAATGTGTAAACTATTTTCACGGCCGTGAAAAAGTTGAGTCACTTGTGGATAGATAATACATAACGATCTGTATTGGAAATTTCCTGTGCTCTTTGGTTTTCACGTTACGCGATGTGTACTTTTCAATTGTATTTTAAGTGATTCATTCACTGTTCCAAAAAACAATATGACTGCATTCTCGACAAAATTATAGGCGCGTGTGTGACACTGCGTGCACCTATATCGATGCGTTTGATAGCGCGCACCGACGGTCGTGCATGTTCTATGTCCATGATGTAACTGTGATATTACGCTATTTTTTCGAAGAAATAATGAGATAATATTAACAATGGTATCTAAACAATTTCTACGGTAAACTGTAATGTTTAACTTATTCGCATCATTTGTATAAAAGAAGGCTGTCCGAACTGAAACCAAAATGTGGAGATTATTTCCCAGACTTCAAAAAACAATTATTGTAAAGAAAATGTTTAACAGTTTTTAATTCATTCAGCAACGCGTCAGATTGCATTGTCTACCATGTGAAGTATTCTGATCGAAGAAACCGTTAATGTACGATACATATTATTTGCACTGTAAATATCTCTTGTAAATATCGTTGAGTTTCCATACCGCTTTAATAAAAACAATGTTTGTGGAATCATTAAATTTGTGTCTGCACTAATACTTACCTGTTCACCTAAATACCATAAATATTATTTGGTTTTCTAAACGTGTTCTTTTTGAGTATCTATTCTAAAACCGTTTTTAATGTCGTTATAGTTATTCGAAAAAATGTATATACTTTCAATTGGTTCCGTTGGCTGATTTCATAACAATTGCTTGCTTTCCTTACAATACAATCACGTTTACCGTTAAAACATTTTAAATTGTTTTTCACCGAATACAATGACTTTCTCATAAGTTTCATTAAGTCTAACTTAACCTTGATCGTAAAAAATTACTGTTTTTCACGAAACACTTGATTTAACAAGTCTCATCGTTGGAATCTCTACTGCAAGTTTATTCGTGAGTTAGCTTTTAACGTCACTTTGAAATTAAGTACATACCTACCTATCATTGAAATGAGGTACAACAGCAACCTGGTGAATAGTGTAGTGGACATTCATAACAAAAGTGGCTGATTAGGTGTTAACATTTTGTCACCGTTGGAATTTGATCGATCACTTAAAACTGCATAAACTTCGTACGCGACAATACAAACAGAAAGCCAGAGGCACGGATGGCCGGATGAACGAGAGGTCGGAAGTGCAGAATGGGCAATGCATGGTTGTGATTCGCGCCACTAGGGTGCTCGGTGTTCGTCGTGTGCGCGCACAGAAACGGTGAGTCTCAATCCACGGGGCACCCAGGAGAGTAAATTTATTTCTTTCATTACGGACGGAGCAGGTCGCGAGTTCTCGGATATCTAGGGCGAGAGGAAAACGTGGCGGAGGAGCGACGAGAGGGACACAGGGGAGAAACGGAGTGGGTGGTTGAAGGTTTTTAGACCCATGCAGAGGGGGGAAGAGACTTGCTTTACCCTCTGCGTACGTCGTTTCCATCGCCAGGGTGCCACGACAGGCGGTGGCAGGCTCAGCTGGCTCAGCAAAGTGAAATATTCGGTGATTTTAACCGTTGGGATGAATAGTCTCCTCGTATTTCGCCTTCCCGCCTCGTTCCACGGATTGGAATTCATGTTATTTCGGTACCATTATGTGCATCGCTGAATCTCAATTAGTGACTCGTCCGTTCTAACTAGAGTATTTACGTGTAGATACATCTAGCCGCGTGAGTTATACTAACGCGATTGGATCTGGGAAGAAATATACGGTTTCTGGGGAATTATCAGTGAAGCGATCGCATGATTTATATGAGATAGGTTTTATGTGAAAAGGATGCAATAAAAGTGAAACTAATCGCGTAATAGGAGTATAAATTAATTTTTTTTTAAGAATTATAGTTTCATAAAAACGATACGCACAGGATCTATTATCCGTACAGAAATAGGAAAATGTAAATATAGGTATGTGTAAAGGATAAGTGTAAGGATAATACAATAAGATGTAACAATTTTTTTGGTAAAGAATATAAAAAAATTTCAAGGCAATAATAATTTTTAATGAATCAACGAAGTAACAGTATAATTAGTAGAGCATATTGTAAACTTAAATGTTAAAGGTTATTTCAATTATATAAGATTTTTCGAAAGAACTATGTACTTTCTTACACAGAAGATTTTTTATTTGAAGTTAATCTTTAGCTTTTAAAGTCTGCTATTAGTGGGCGCCATATTGCCTAAAATGTGAAGGATTAAAGGGAGGAAAATATAAATTACATGATAGATATCGGACTTTCTGTATTCGTCTACTTTTAGCCAGATCTATTTATTCCCTCCGTGCTTTTTTTAAAGCACTAAATATCACGACTGCTGCTAAACACAACAGAAATTTATTTTCGTCCACCCTAACCGCCGATAACTGTTTTGCTTCGGGAACAAACAAAAAATTTGTGTCCCGTGCGTGACTTTAGCCGACCTTCGGGTAGCAATTTTATTGATTCCCCGTGTAATATATTTCTAGCAGCTGTTCGTTATATTGTTTTTGAATCCCCCGGTTTTCCAGCAGGAACTATTACTTTGACGTTAATGCGGGCACTGTAAAGTATTCGTGGTATTGTCGAAAAGGAAAGTGTAAATCTATCTTCAGACATTTCCCGTGTACCCGTCGTCGATCGTCTTTCACGCGAACGTCACGTTCTTGCTATGTAGATCGTTGTGCCAGCTACATGGATGTATCACTTGATGAGTTGCCTATCGGACGTTCTGTCCCGTTGCTCGAAACGAAGTACATCATCTATTACACCGAACACGATGAGGGAAGTAATTTAGCAGTAGCATTGCTCTGAAAAACGATTCAATCGGGCGTAATACATTGCGCCGTGTATTTAATCACAAGATTATCGATACAAATCGAGTTTCAGCAATAATAATGGTATTGTTCTATAAGTATCTGCAAACTACGCGTAATTGTTTTATTTAACGTAAAAACCTTGGAGAATATATGAACATAAATTTATTTTCAGTAAATAAGGATAATTAGATAAAATTATTTGTATTTTCTGTGGAGCAAGTACTTCCTTTATTCCATACTTAAGGTTAATGCATGTAAATTATCAACTGTAAGATAAGCTACTTAAAGCTACTTACGGTCAAAATGTAATAAAATATGGTACTATTCAATATTTAGTTACATTATGCTTTTTTATAAATTTGGTAGAAAGTTTGGGTAACATTATTTTTTCATTAATTATACTTAATATGGCCTTTCTGTTTAAATATAATGTAATCTTGTACAACCTTTTGACAGCTATTACTTTATTATTCAATTGCTATTAATTCTGTTATGAATACAGCATTTTTCAATATTTACCGATAGTAACTCTGCTTGTAAATCGTATTCAAAAGATTAGCTGTAATCTGTAATTTATTTGTTTGAAAGTTGTAATTCTGTTTTTATTGATTTCCTTTCGCCAGGTTTATATTACGGATCGCATTTAATTTACAGATTTGCAACAACTGACGTTAATTTCTGATCATAAACTGTCGAGATTAATGTTACGTTCGACCGTATAAATCTATACATAGCATTTTGGGGGTCAACCAATATCATTTATGTTTTATCTGATGTTCCGTCAAAACTAGTAAATATTTTTGCTAAAAGAGTACCCGTATTGTTCAAATTTGTACGGAGATAGTCGTTTCATATTTAAAAAAACACAACATACGATAAAAATAAAAAATGTATTCAAGGAAACCAGTTTGTTTTCAAATTTACATATTCTGTATTTTTACCTATTATGTATATTGAATATGTATCACCATTTTGTTTACTAAACACAAGTAGCCTATATTTATATTTTTTTATATGTATACTTAACTCTGCTCCTTTTTCCGTATCAGCGTATGCAATGTTTGTTTCGTTATAAATTGTATGATTCGAATTAATTGTGAAATTTACAGGACAATGTTTTAGTACTTCAAATAATGAAAATGGCAAATAGGAGAGCATCGGTGGTTTTTGCAGAAAATTGTTATTTTGAATCACAATTTATGTATTAAGAGTTTCGAGTTCGCGATTTCCGTTTGAAAGTGCAGTGTTCATGAAAATATGCTAATACGCAACATGTTATTTCCCAGCATCGTACAAGGGGCACAATGATTTTCAATCTTATCGAAACGACTAAACGAAACTGCACCGGAAATTACAACTCTCTCTAGCACGAGCCGGCAAACCTACTGTTGGTCTTCGAAAAGTCAAACGTTGCACTTGAAGCCGCCATCTAGTATGTAGTATCGTTATTGTCTCAGCTGAACGTGTCACGATTAATGCCTATTCTCTTTCACCGTGTCTTTTTGTTATCCTGTCCCGGCTTATCTTGATAGCTGGGAAAACGGGTACGCGAGTTGTAACAAGGCGCAAATAAAAGTGGCAAACGATTTATCACCGGATATTTCCGGAATTGCGAATTTCTCTTATGTTCGAATCATTATAAACGCCCCTTTACATATACATATGTGCTCGTCCGGAGCGGGACGAACCTTAGCACTTTAATTAAAGTGCACGGTGGCTCGTGAGAAAGCGTTATCGAAAATCACGTTCCCCAGACGTTCCGTGATTTACGCGTGTCTCGCGTTACCGCAGTTTTAGCATAATTTCGATGAAAGAAAGACCGTCCCCGTGTCCTCGATCGGATCGTTTTTGTCGTCCCGTGGAACACGTCCCTGAACGATGTCTATCAGCCATCCTGGCCAGTCTTACGAGTCAGGGCAGACAATTTAGCACATCAATAACAGGCCGCGGATAAAAGCAGCCCATACATCGTGGCTGACGTATCGTTTGTAATAAAACACAAAGGGGGTCTAGCCGCCAGCGGCATCTGTGTACCGCGCTGTGCAGCCGTTCGTTCATTCTTGCTGTTATTAACAGGCCGTACATCGTGGATGTTTTCTACCTACCATCTCCCGTCGAGTCATACATCACCGTTGAATGCGCGACAGCAAAGAGCAACTATAATTCATCTATAAGCTACAGCCGATCCCCCTCGGCAGAAATTGTGGAAGACGAAATCGATAGGGCAAACCTTGCTGAAGGTTTTACGATGTTCGCGCTTCCGACGCGTAAAATTGAATTTTTAGAGGATCCAATCAGGAGTGAAAGATATCGATCACCCGCGCGTGATTTCTTTCTTCGGCGGGAATATTCCGGGGGAACGAGGAAATATGTTGCAATAACTTTAAAGTTTGCGTCACTTTGTGTATGTATATTAACATGAATATTATTTGACCCTGTTTTCATGTTACCGAGCTCTATGATTCAGTAACTTGGCTTTTGAAAATTACATTGCTGTTAGTAGTTCTACTTGATCGCTTACATTGAATTGTCGATATTCCAAAATATATTAAATAACAGTAATTTATGATAAGGACGTTGACTATAAAATCATAATAGACTTATTAAAATACAGACATTGTTATCTTAAGTATCGGTTTCGGAGATAAAGACATTCAGGTTATTAGAACAAAGTTTAGTGTACCTCCTTTATTATGATTAAATCCATCAGAAATGTGGATCTTATATGTTGCGAGAAAAC